AATATTTCAATAAGAGCAGTTTGAACAAAACAGATATTATCTAAACTTTTAAATATACGCTTAATGTCCTTTTCTTCCATTTATCCTCTCTATTACATACTACGGTTTTTACCTAGCAATTTACGTGTTTAGAAATTCAAACATTAGGGCAACGATATTAAACCCACAGTACATATTTGAATTGATGAAATGGCTTGTCAGGGACTACGACCAACAATACCCAAGGATACACATCCTAAGCTTACAGAACTGCTTGAAAAGTGTTGGCAGCAAGATCCCAATAAAAGACCCGAGTTCCCAGAGATTTTGGAGATTTTGCAGCGAATTGCCAAAGGGGTAACACTTTCATTTACCAAAAAGCTAGCTTGCCTGATTTTGAGAGTAATAACTTAGGAAGTTTTTTTCAATTGTTCTAATGTCCTAAAAACAGGTTGGAGATGATGGAGAGGAGAAGCACAAGGAGAAATCAATTGGTAGCTTTTTCCATTCCCTTAGAAGAGCCCATCACTAAGCGGTCTAAAACATGGGCACTCTTGGAAATATGAATATATGATGTGTTTTAAATGTAGAGCTTTTCTGACTAGTGGCAGTAGTGGGTGTATAATTGTGAATTCCGTGCTCCCTTATTGGTTTTATAAATATAATTGGATAATATATCCATCAATTTTCAGTCATGAATTGTGAGTTTTTGGTTGAAGAGGTAGGTAGTCTGGTTCCTTTAAATTGTGCATTTCTGTACATGATTCTAAGAACATCCCATTTGCTAATATATAATGTCTTTCTTTTGACGTGATCGTATGGTGAGTGATCCAGTACAACTCAAATAATTTTTGCCTATAAACAATGACATTATGATCTCATGTCTTTTATGCTGAAATGTTGAAAAAAGAAATATATTTATTTTGGTAGAATCATTTTGATAATGCAATTGCTTGATGTTTTTTTAGAACTATTTTGATAATGTAATTATTACGTATGGAATGAAATTCTTCTTTCTATGCGTTGCACGAGAATGCAGTGGATCAAATAGACCTGGACTTGGGCCGGTTCGGGCCCGGTTCGGGCCTGGGCCCGGCCGGGCCTCGGGCCAGGAAAGTTGGGCCCGAGCCCGAACCGCCGGTGGGCGGTTCCGGGTCTGGTTCCGGGCCAAACCGGGCCGGGCCGGGCCTAACTGGTTCTAATTTTTTTTTTTTTTTGGCTCTTCTATTTAACCCCCAACCCCTCCCCCTCAACCCCAAACCACCCCAAATGGCCCAAAATACCTAATCCAACACAAAACTTAAAAAAAATTCAAAAAAAAAAAAAATTAAAAACCGGCCCGAACCGGGCCCGAATCGGCCGGACCGGTTCACCAAAAACTGGGCCCGAGCCCGGACCGCCCAGCAGCCGGGCCGGGCCGAACTGAATCGGTGGACCCACCGGGCCCCGGGCCGGGCCATGCCAAACAGTAACCGGGCCGGGCCGGTTCCGGGCCGGGCCGCCCGGCCTGAGTCCATCCCTAGGATCAAATATGAAATGCAGTGTGTAAAATATTATTGTACATTTAAACAAATCACAATCTCGACACACCTCACACACAAATACATTCAAGGGAATTTGAAAAAAAATTCAAGGCCATATTTAGGATGTTCTGTCCGGCTGACGTCATTTGGAGCGGTTTCCGGTGAAATGTTTTGATGAAATGTTTTGAGAATCTTATTCATTAAGTCTAGTTTACTCATATCAAATTTGAATTAAAACTTCAATCGAGAAGCCATTTAAATGAATTTTTGAAGATAATTGTGCAGTTATCTTCATAATATACAAAACATTCTCAATTTTTATAGGCATCTCATTTATGTCGAAAAAATGGATCAATGGATCATCTACTCTAAATCACTAATATGAACTAAATTGACTACAATATTGAATATGTTAACAAGAAATATTGTAACCAAGTCTTGTATAGGGGTGGACTCGGGCCGGGCGGCCCACCCCGGAACCGGCCTGAACGGTCACTGTTTGAACCAGCCCGACCTGCCGGCCCGGCCATGGACCGGTCCGAGTAGGCCCGACCCGCTGGGGTTCCGGGCCGGGCTCAGGCCCCTCAAAAGGTGAACCGGCCCGACCGGTCCGGGCCAATTTTTTTTGTGTCCTTTTTTTAAAAAAGAAAAATTATACACGATGGCAAACAGTGATATTGTAATAGTTGCTATGGAAAAATACACGATGGCAAACACTTGAAACCAATGGAAGTATAATACTAAAATGAGAAAATTATCATATCATATCATCTACGCTATGGAGTACATATAAAGCTATTCCCCTTTCTCATTATATGCGCTTACTAAGGTCATATGAAGAACAATGACACTAGCGTTTAGTAGATATGTTGATAAATTACTTGATGAACTCATGAAAGTAGTGAGTACTTTTTGTTTTAGAGTATTTAAAATATAAATGAGTATTGTGTGTGGTCTCAATGTCTCATTGTTTATATTTAGTCATATTTAGGGAACCTGACTATATATGTTCTAGTCATATCTCAATAAATCTGCGTAGTAAAATACTTGAGATTCCCTTCCTAAAGTTTAGCTTAATAAGAATATCAATGATCTTATATATTGATATACGGAGTAGTATTTTACACGTAGTATATTGGTATGAGATGAGCTGATGAGTACTTCAAGTCTTCAACACCCCCAACCCAAAGTAGAGCGGGCAAATAGTTAAATAGACTACACTTGATCCATGTGCCAAATGAACAATCAAACGACAAGTCTCGGCTTATATAGTTATATTAAGTCTTGGTGTTGAATCATAAAAGTTTAATCTCATGCAAGGAGTAACCACTAATCTATATATTGATTTAATAGTTTATACTTTGTGCAATTCCCACGCATTACTTTGTGTAATACGTAGTACAATTGTTCCATTTATTTGTAATAGCAATAATCTCATTTTGATATTTGCAAACACATACTCCGTAACTACTTTGACTTTTAGAATATTTATTCCTCTATAAGTAAACACATTTAAACATCGGAGTTTGAAGCTTCACAGTGATACGAATTTAAAATGTAGTCAAAATACATTAATGTAAACTGCACGAGTAATTCAGTTGGTTGAGTGGTGAGAAAGTTGGGACATTGATCAAGGATCAAAACTCACAGCGACCGTGTAGAGGTTACGTACAGCTCATGTATGCTGGGCAGGCCGGACCTCTGGTGCACATGTGTACAAAGTATATAACCATTGAGCCGACTGAATTATGGTGAGTTATAACTTTCCTAATGTCTTTGGGTCAAGGTGTTAGGGATCTTTGAGATTAGGAATTCAACCTTGTGGAACGTTAAAAACAAATTGATGTATGTCTCTTGGTGAGATAGACTAAAGTGTTGGAGGTGTGCTGAAGGTTGTCGCTCCCGTTTAGTAAGCTATACAAGACCGAAGATAAAAATGAGATTTTTTAATAACTGAATTAAATCCCAAAATGGAATTGATCCCTAACGAACTATGATACCACTATTGAATTAGGTGGTGCAATATTGGAGATCACAACTTTTCATGCACCTTATCATATTTTTAATTGAATTCTTTTCACATCATATAGGGTGTTTGGAACTGATTTTGCTTCTACTTCTTTTTTAAAACAAAAACAGAATCAGAATCAGTTTTTAGAAGCCGACCCTCAGCTTCTAAAAACACTGATATTAGGAGTAAATTCGAGGACCAGAATCACTTCTACACTTTCACTCAAACTTCTGTTTCTTCTCCTTGAAGGAGTAGAAGCGGTTTTAATAATAAGATTCAAACACCCCCATATAGATATGTGGTCTCATGTATTTTACAAACGTCGAGATCTAGTTGGGTCTGATATGATCTATTTAAGTTTGGTTTAGTCTCCTATTTGATCTAGCATGTGATTTAAATTAGTCTACTGGAAAAACACTCTTATAAGATTGGATGTTTTTAATTGGAATGTATCTTGTTTGTTTAAATTTGATTAGATCGAACTGATGTCTGTTGAAATCATAGTCAGGGGGCGGTAGTCCGTCTTGGAAATAGTCGTAACGCATTTGGATTAAATTGATGTTTAAAATATGAAACTTTAAAATAAACTAGAAGTCTATAACGCCATTTCTTTTGATACATTGGAATTTGGAAGGAAACGTCAAACGACTACAATAACTTGGGCACACTGAAAAGAATACAACTATAACGCTCTACACCTATCTATTGTGTTTTTTTTTTTTTTTTTTTTTTTTTGCTAAGATGAGATGTCTTTCACCATTCCATGGAAGTAGACAAAAAATCATTTATACTTAACTTTTGATATTTATCTACAACTTTACGGAAAACAATACTCCCTCCGTCCCTGAAAATTGTTCCTTGTTTCCTTTTTGGGCCGTCCCAAAAAATTGTCTCTCTTTCCCCTTTTAGAAAGTTTTTTGTGGTTACAATTCATTTACCTTTTTCTTACTCAACCACAACCATACATTTCCACTTTATTCCCATTTTCTTAAACTCCGTTCCAAGTCAATGCGGGAACAATTTTCCGGGACGGAGGGAGTACTGGTTATCTAATTGTGCTCATTCATTCATTTTAATAGACACATTCACACACTAATAGTTTCTCATGCTATCAAATTAATGTAGAAAAAATATATACAAATAGACACATTGGAAAAGTAGAAATAAAAGAAAAAAAATATACAAATAGTATAAAAATATATACTAATTGTTTCGCATAAGCTCTAATAACTCTGTTTTCTTATTTAAATTGTTAAGAGTTCATGATATACTTGCTTTTATTATAAGAAATAGACCCAAATTATAATTCCAAAATGATTTTTCTAACTAAGCGCATTATATTATATTTTAAATATGAGTAAGTACTATCATTCTATAGTAATTAATCATATTAATGTCCAATAGTGTTATTACAAGGTAATATAACTCATTAAAGTCCAAAATAAAAATGCTATAATTCTGTTTACAGAGGGATTATAATACTCATATTTAAATAAATTACTTTTTTGCACTTATATTTTGCGAAATATACATTGTAATAGTTGAGGTTTCAAAATTTAAATGAACTCTCGTTTATAATGAATAGTAAACAAAAAAGAGGTAAATAGAACTTAAAACAAAATGAAAATAATGTTAGAGAAAAATTTAAGTACAACAAAGAATAATCTTTGAAATATGGAAAATGAAACAAAAAGTCAAAAACAGTAAATTACCCGGAAAATATGGAACTAATTTCACAAAATTCCCAATAACATGAGTCTTCTTGACTTCTTCCTTCAAGTTGGTTCCTCATGCTTCACCCGCCCGCCAACCCGACTTCCACGTAGACTTTGGGTCCGAGTCAGAAACGGGCGGATCATGTGGACCACATCACGGCAGCCCATAAAGGAAGGAAGATCCTTCCGAATATTCTTCCGTGGGTCCCCACTGCCCTCACTCCTATCCGCGCCTCCACACCGCCTTTCGTCGTCTTCTTATCCACAACCCTGCTTTCCTTTCCCCCAATATAAAAGCCGTTCTTCTTCGTCTCGCTTCACACGCTCAATCTCAAACATTTCCTCTTTTTGAATTCTCAAAGTACGCGTAATCATGATTTCCGCTGCAGATCAAGAGCAGCTCCTTCAGGATCTCCAGGTCTTCAAGATCAAAGGCAAAGACAAGCGCGGCCGTAAAATCCTCCAGATTTTCGGAAAGTTTTTCCCTGGTAAGATCATCGACGCGCCGCTGATCTAATTTTTTCTCTCGTTCGCAATTTGAAGTTGATTTGTTGTTAATTTGCGTTTTGTTTTGTTGATCAGCGAGGATTGTGAGCGCTGAGGTCGTGAATAAGTACCTGCAGGAGAAGGTTTTCCCGGAGCTTGACAACCGGCCGTTTGCGGTCCTGTATTTCCACACCGGCGTCGAGAAGAACGAGAACTTCCTCGGAATTTCAGCGATGCGGTCAATCTACGACTCCATTCCGGCCCCTGTTCGGCAGAATCTCGAGGCCGTGTACTTCGTCCATCCCGGCCTTCAATCCAGACTGTTTCTAGCCACCTTTGGCCGGATCATCTTCTCCGGAGGGTAATAATCTCGAATTACCTATACCGTTAAACATATTAACTGAATCCTAACATGATTTTTACTGTATACTTTCAATTTATCCAAAATTAATCAACAATTCTGTATTTTTATTGCCGCAGATTGTACGCTAAGCTGAGATACATAACCAGGTTGGATTATCTGTGGGAACACGTGAGGAGGAATGCGATTGAGATCCCGGAGTACGTTCACGATCACGACGCGGATCTGGAGTACCGTCCGATGATGGATTACGGCGTAGAGACGGATCACGTTCGGGTTCACGGTACACCCGTATTGGACACACCGGAGCCGATGCTCACGATGAGGTGTATCTCGTAGCGACTCACCCCCATGCGACGTCGTTGCGGAGCTTTTGAATGTACTGAAAAATCAAAATTCAAAAAGGCCTAAGGGCTTCTGTCCCTATAGGCCTATAGATGCCTTTCTACTGTTTTGATTTTTTTGGCTTCTCCACAAGGAAAATTGTACATATAACGCCATACATTTCAGTGACTTGTGACGTTTCACCTGTGAGTGTATTGTAGTCTTAAGAAATATACCAGCGTTGAATGAATTTGGTCACATTGTTGGGCTAACTAAAGAGCCTAGATTCAATTTGTTAATTTTGCAATTGAAGAAATTACATGTAAAAAGAAAAATTATACTGCCATCAGAGTCCCGAAAATTAAATTTCTTTCTATTTTGATCGTCCATGTCCTGAAAATTAAAATATACTCTAAACAATGTCAGGCAGGTAAATTTTGGTGTTTTTACTTGGACCATAATTTGCTTGGTCTTTAGCGGATCCGGAGCCTCTACCTTACTTTATAGTAAGGTAAAGTAAGGTAGAGTGTCTTGCTTCCTCCCAGCCGTCCGATCGACAATTCAACAGTTGGAGATCTTGAGTTCCACTTTTTCGCCGATCTTGAGGTCGTGTTGGTCGCTCCCTCCCGTCTGATGCGCAAGGCACCCTCCTAGTCGGGTAGAGGATCCCTATCCGTCTTTAGCTTGTTTATGTTTAATCGTTTACAGTCTTTAGCTTGTTTATGTTTAATCGTTTACAGTTTGGTAAAGTTTGATCTTTGATTTGGTCTTTCACGTTCAATAAAGTTTGATCTTTGATTTGGTCTTTTAAGTTCAATCTGATTTAGGATTGAAAACAAAACTTAAATTTTAAAACATAAAATAGATTCTGATGGTTCTTTTTAAATTTTAAATTTTTAAGTTTGGTCTTTAGTCTATTTTTGTAGACAAAACGTAAGAGGAAATTAGGGCTAAGTCCGAAAAACCGAAAACCGAATTAAATTAAACTGAACCGCAGTCAAATACAATCGAACCGCTAAGAAACTGAAGGTAAAAGCCGAACCAAACCGAAGTAGTTTGGTTCGGTTTTGGTTTTTACCCTTCAAAATCGAACTGAACTGAACAAACCGAACTATTTAAAATATGAAATTTATATGTTAATTGTTAAGCATTAATTCTAATCAATTTTAATATCATCGATAGTCTTTGGTTTTCTTGTGTTAGAGAAATAATGTTTGTGTTATGTTTAATTTGTTAAGGAAAAATTGACAAGAATAATCTCATCTTTCATCGGTCTTTATATAATAATCCTACCTTTACATAATCCCAAAATAATCTCACCTTCGCACCTCATCTTCTTTCATTGCACTCTGACCAAGTTTTTTACCTTCTTTGAAAATCTTATATAAATAATCTCACATTTATAAAGATATAATAGAAAAGTGAAAGATGAGATTATTTATATGATTTTCAAAAAAAGAGTAAAAAACATGGTCAGGGTCCAATGAAAGAAGATGGGATGCAAATGTGGGATTATTCTGGGATTATCTAAAGGTGGGATTATTATGAGAAGACTAGTGAAAAGTGGGATTATTTTTGTTAATTTTTCCTAATTTAATTTATTTTATAAATTTATTCACACATTCATTGTCTATAATAATGTAGCTATATTGAATGATGATAATATATGTTTACTAGTTATTAGTAGTAATTAACTTTTATTTTTAGATAACTTAAAGATTTATATTGATAAAATAATAAATATTCATCTCTACTATATCACATAAAATGCATATATTCATGAACATTTTTCAAACTACTCACAAACAAATTAAATCAATAATATATACAGTTTTGTCTATCTTGCATACTCATATAATTCAAAACATATTCATCTCTTCTCATTTTTATTTTATTTGTTGTTATATTGTGCTTGCATTCTTTATGTAATACTATGTATGTTTGATCCTTCTAAGTATTATATCAATTTTAAATCAAGTGATTTTTTTGGGGTAAAAAACCGAAAATACCGAACAATCAAACCGTGGTTCCAAGTTTGGAGTGTAAAACCGAACCGAAACTGAACCAAACTTTTTACTTTGATTCTATATTTGGTTTTAGGTCAAAACCGAACCGCAAGAACCGAACTCACCCCTTGAGGAAATGCCACAAATAATCCCAGATTATTATTACAATACCCAATTTAGTCCCTCTTTTTGGATGTGACCGTAATACATCCCAACTCCCATATCTTTGCCAACGAGGTAAGGGTCAGATTGGTATTCGAATTTGCATAAAAAGGGTCAAATAAGTCCTTACTGTCCGGCCGCCGTCATTTGAGGCGGTTCCCGTTGGATTTTTTTGATGAATTTTTTTGAGCATCTTATTAATTAAGTCTAGTTTACTCATACCAAATTTAAGCTAAAACTCCAATTGGGAAGACATTCAAATGAATTCTTAAAAATAACAACGCTTTTAAGTGCATAACTATCTTCCAGAATTCATTTGAATGTCATCCCGGTGAATATTTAGCTGAAATTTGGTATGAGTAAACTGGACTTAATGAATAAGATGCTCACAAAAATTCGTCGAAAAATTCCACCGGGAACCGCCCCAAATGGCGACAGTCGTACACAACCTCCTATATAAGGACTTATTTGACCCTTTTTGTGCAACTTCGAGTACCAATCTGACTTTTACCTCATTTGCCAACTTTAATCCTAGAACGCCTTGGCCGTCTACCTCCGTTAGTTGAGAGGGCATTAGAGTAAATTTATTATTAAATTGCCTGCAAAATAACCCTAATGTTATGCTTCGTCGAGAAATGGTTCCATAAGAACACTCCTGTTGGTACGTTCTCAGTTAGCGCAACCTAGAAACGAACATATGGCATGTCTTCTCCACATCAAAGGTAGTCTTCATCTGCAAGTTCAAGCACAGGGTTGAGGAATTTAACTGTATTGATCTTTATGGTGAGTTACTTTCAGTTTTGAAATGTCATTGCGATGAAGGTACAACTTGGGGCGGGGGGGGGGGGGGGGGTGATCTGGGAAGGAGGTACTTGAAATGTACAAGAAAAAATGTTGTTTTTCTTCTCATTTAGATTAATTTAAATTTTCTTACTTTTTTTCGTAAAGAGAAAATACAATGCTGGAAAAACAGAGGTTGTGGCACGTTGAGTGGCATGACCCTCAACTCCTCAAGAAGCTTGGATCAAAGAAGATTATCAGAGTGGAAAATGAAATAATGAGATTGTTGAAAGATCTTATGGAATATACAATGAAGAAACAAGATGCTATTAAATTGAAATTCAAAGGAAAATGAAATTTTTGATTTGCTCACACAGTCACACTAGTGATTGTTTTCCTAATGTTCATATACAAGAACAAAAAATTGTAAGTCTACAAATGCTGAATTCTACCATTTGGGTTAGGAAAGCTCTAGTTTGGAAGTATGGAGTTGAAGTTTTACTCAAGTGAAGCATTCGTTTCTATTTTTCATGATGTTTGTAACAAGGTAATGTTTATGTTAGATTGAAAGTGTGTGGTGTTTTGTTACAAGTATTTTGTATGAAATCAAGGATGATAAATTAAGTGTAATGCACTTCAGATGATAGCTTTTGTGCTAATTTCTACAAACAAGTAGTGAATCATTGTTTTAATTAGTTATTCATACTCCACATTTTCAACAAGTATGAAGTAATGAATTTTTTCATAATGATTCAGTTAATCAGTTGTGTTGTATTCTTTAAGTGACTTTAGAAATACTTTGCAACTTTTGTAGTTGTAATAAAGTAAATATTAGTCTATGACTCTGTAGTACCGTAGTTTAATTTGGAGACACCATGTTGATGAATAACCTTGACTGAAGAGCTAAAGGTTTGTGTTGTTTCATTAGCTAGACTAATTCAGGTTGCAGATGGTGTAGATAGTGTTTGGTTATATTTGTAGAAGGTTTGGCAACGGTAGTACCTACCAATTAACAGAGAATAGGCTGCCAAGATAAAATCGGACTGAAATTGGTCACTACATAAAAGTGGAGGATTAAATATCAGTAAATATAAAGTTTGGGACTAAACTAGGTCATGCCACAATAGTCTAGGACTATTTGTGGCATTTTCTCCAAAAAGTAAAATAAGGATACTTCTTTTTGTGTCATTAATCTATATTCACCAACTTCTTCTTTAAAGCACATCATAGACAGAATGTAGTAATTGTTCTTCAATACTCCGTACTTTGTATCTAACAATTCGTATCTAACAATTCCAACATATCTAACAACTCCAAGACCGTTTGGTAGTCTTGGTTTTCTTCTTTTATCCCCCCCTCCTCTTCCTCCTCTTTTTCTCTCAAAAACCTAATAAGTTTCAATTCACTTCAATCTTAAATGAATTATATATATTGCGTTTGATATTTAAGTGAGAAGCATAAGATGTGGGACATTGATCTAAATGATTTGGAAATTACTAAATACTACTTATAGAATCAAAACATACACAAAATGCATAAATAGGACTAAATATCAATGAAGGATTTAATTTAGTCTTATTAAAGGAATAATTTAATTAAAATTTCTCAACATATCAGTGAAGGAGTCATATTTTGAGAATAAAACAATGATAGTCCTACTTGTGAACTTTATTATTTTTTTATTCATATTGGAATTTCCTTCAAACGATTTCAGGAATATGGAAGATATTGGAATACATTAATTTGTAGCATGACGAGCCTGAATTGAAATTAATCTTGTTATTTTTAGTCTAATCTTTCAAACAATATTATGATTATTATTTTTTGGTACTACTATTATTATTGTTTTATTTGTGAGCATATGGATTAAATCATAACCGTATTATATCATAAAAGTCAATTAGGTCCCCCAACTAAAAACAAAACACCCAATTAAATCCACGAACTATAGAAAAAAAATCAAATTTGTACTTTAACCTTTTGAATCCCGGTTAACCGGTTACCATAATGATGCAGCAGGCCACGTGTCATTTTTATGCTTTTCTTCACTTTTTTTCTTCCTTCTCTTCCCCTATTTTATTCCCGCCCACCACCTCTTTTCTTTTTCTTTGGCCCTGCTTCATTCTTTCTTGTCTTTTCATACAAACTTCATCCTTTATCTTTAGTTTTTTCCCCTTTTCTTCTTCCCTCCCGCACGGAATCTCTCCCCTGTGTCTTTCTTCTTCAACATTTTATTTATCTTTCTTCCGATTAAGGGGCCCTCTTCCCTTCCGATAAGAGGAAACTTAAATCGGGCGATGGCGAGGAGGGCCGATTGGTGGTGGTAATCTTCAACTTCCTCTGCCACATCCTTGGTGCTACCGGCCATCATCTTCAACACAGATCGTCAAGGATGTCTTCTCCTCCGCA